AAAAAAAAAAAAAAAAAAAAAAAAAAAAAAAAAAAAAAAAATGTGAAATCCAGATGGTTCCGGATAAACGAACGGTAGACCCTACGGAGCATATACACACGTACACGGGTAGGGTGGACGCATCGGTCGTTACGCGGATGTGCGTATTAACCCACTTAGCTGCATCACTTGCGATGGGCCCTACATACGAGTGGAGACTATCGCACAGAGGACTTTTGTTACACGTTGTGCACTTCGCACGTATAGCGTTCGCGATGGCGCGTACACAAAGTTTCTATGAATTGCCACGCGCGGCCAAACGATCGATAGTCGATTGAAAAACGAAGCCACGGGAAAAAAAAGCGATGGGATATCTGGCAGTGAAACGAACAGTCTAGATCACTCAAAATGGAAAGTCCATAACGTATACACGTTTCTATGCGTGTAGTACACCGTTACCATTAAGCATTCCGAGGGGGTGTACGTATATAATATATGCATCTCCTGCTCCGAGCGCGTATGCGTCCATATATATATAAGTATATATATATATGCATATATATATATGCATAAGTAAGTATCGAGGTAAGTATACGCAGGGTTTGTAAAAAAGCTGAGTTTACGGTTAACAATAACAACCCACCTCGTAAACGTTGGGATGCCAGACTTTGGTCTTGAAGCGAATGCTCGGCGGACTGTACGGGTAATCTGGTGGGAACTTCATGTGTGCCTGTAAAAAAAACAGCCAGAGTCAAAAGGTGAAAAAAACATTAGAAAAAATACCCGCGCACCCGAGGTGACGGTGATTGTGCAAATGGTGATGTAATTACTTAATTGCGAGTAAAAAAAAAAAAAACAAAAACAAATTAAGACTCGTTAAATTTTTTCTTTCATCACTAAAACGCTCATCGTTTATTAAGTGGCTCATCTACCTATACAAGTTCGTTTTACAAATCCAACTGTATACAGTCAATTTTATATTTCATCTATCGCATAACGATCAAAGCCATTTGCATTTATGGGCCCGAACCCCTTTAATATCATTATATTATCATCATAGGTCGAGGATTCATCTGCAAAATAGAGCACACGACATGCACTTGTCTGGAATTTCGGAAATTTCGTAACGCCTCACCTACGTGCAAAATAGGACAAAACCCGAGAACTGCTTGGATTTTCAGCTCGTACAACAGTTACATACATCAGCTCGTACAACTGTACGTAACGCGCAGGTACTTTATTTTATTTTTTTGTTACCAATAGAAATACTGCAGCTGCTGTCGAAATGTTTTTTTAATACACCTCCTTCTGTTACTTACGTGTTTTATTTTGATTTTATAATCTCCAGGTGAAAAAAAGGAGGGTGGGGGGAGAGTCTACTCGTAAAAATTCACGTTAAAAGTAAAAGTGACAGTAAATAATTTGTACTCAAAAGAAAGAGAAGAAAAAAAAAGAATAATGTAAGACCTTTGGTGAAAGTAAACTGCCACGCACTCCAAGGTCTTTACAAGAATAGTTGTAGATTCGCGCAACAACAACCTGCTGACGAGGAGGGACCACCTTGTGTATCCTTATATACTTACCTTACATCTATTAATTACGTACAAAGTATTGTTACAGCTTGTTACACAATTTCGATGAATAAGAATAAAAGGGTGGTAGTTGTCGCTTCCTACGCGTGCAAACGTGTATAAGGGTGCAGCAGCGAGGGAGGAGATGGGGAAAAAAAAAAAAAAAAAGAGAACTGGGCTGAGAGCGGAAAATGGGGCACACACATTGATCTTATGATGGCGCTCGCGACCTGGTCATGGCCCAAATATACATCCTAGCTCCGGTCTAGCTCCACCTCTCTTCCTCCTTAATTTGTCCTCCTCGGGAATTCTTTTATACATATGTATACATCAGATATACATACCTATATTCTCTTTGTCGCGTGTTTTTATAACTACATTTATACAGGTCCCGCATTGTACGACCGATATACTTATATAAAAATAATACCTACTTGCTTACAAATGCACGTGACTTTTTCCAACTTAAACCGCTTCTCTACCATTCATTCGGACGAATAAGCGCGTCTTTTGTGTCTCTATATAGAGATTTTGCAACTCCAGAGTTAGTATTATACCCTGTACGTATACGTCTCAAGTATATGTACTAAGTAGCGCGCCATAAGCTAGTTTCGTGGCGTTAGTGCTGCCTCCTTCCTGTCTGTACATGGGCAATATAGGATTGGGTGGGTGGGGTAGTGTATGTAAGTAGAATTGGCCCCGATTCTCCAATCTTCCTTTTCTTCTCATCACCTACTATACTTATACTTATACTTATACCCGGGATACGCACGTTCTTTTTTGCATCAACTTATCAAGTATCAACTCACGGATTGCCGATACTCTTGTAAATATAATAATTAAGTAAATCAGTATATGGCAGTAAATAGTATAGAGCGGAACGTGGATTGCTGAGATGTAGCTCGAGAGGAATGATCGAGTGAGCGCAAGAGAAAATCGGGCTAGTGTTATTATTATTATTATTATTATTATTATTATTATTATTATTACTATTATAACTATTATTTTTATACAACTATAATATACGAGACTATGGAAGAGGAGAAGAATCAAATGTGCCGGTAAAAATATCGGGTTGGGGAGCGTGCCCCGTTAACAGCTCTCGGTGTTACCTTTTTCAATAATTGTATGATAATAAATGCACGTACTTAATTTGAGGCAGCACAAAAAATATATACCATGTACTATTTGACACAGACAAACAGAAAGGCATTACCAATAATCCTTGATGGTACACAAATGATGATGATGATCACACATTTTTCAAGCCCAAGTAGGTACGCTCCAATTTGTTGACTCTGTCAATTAACGCTTATACCAATCATACTAACATTTATTCCAAAACAAAGCCACTAATCTTTCCCGTTTCGATTTTAATTTTAAGTAAATAAAGTAACTCGATCCATGTTTGAGATTCAACTACTCTCGCTTCTACCAAAAACTACGTCAAATCCAACCGATGTGTGATTTCGTAGAGCAAAAAGGAATAATAAAAACTTGAAGATCGAGGCGGATGTTGTGATGATGATGATGATGATGATGATGATGATGATGATGATGATGATGATGATGATGATGATGATGATGATGATGATGATGAGGGAGACCCTACACGATAATATTGTTCAAGTAAGTAATTACAAGCAGAGGAACAACTATACTCGAGAGAGCACAACGTAAATGTACCGTTGCCGCGAGAGAGGCTCAATAAAACGCGAGAGTGGTTTAGAAAGCGGAATCGAGGTGAGCGCGCGAAAACGCGACCAACACCTACACACAAGTATAAGTATTATCTGATCTTTTTTTTTATACAATTGGTTGATTGCAGCAGCTGATGAATATGATGTTGTTATGTATACACGTTTCATTGATTTCGGTGTTTTAACAATTTATTGTAAAAGTGGTGCGTTGGCTCGTCTTTACCAACACCCCAGCTTTTTGCTCTTTGCTAAAGTACAAGTGCTAAAACAACACGACTCTAGGGACAACCAAAGCATTTCAAAAAAGGTGTTTATGTGAAACATCATTACTCGATCTGTTTAAGGTGGTTCTTCGCGATGGTGCCGTATCAAAGCGACACGGGACCCTGTGGTTTTATAATTTTCGATAAGCGTATTATTTGCAACATAAAATATGTTGTACTGGCACTTGACTATAATATCATTGCATTTACATACAAATAAACAAGCTAATAAAGTTAGAGTAAGAGTTATAAAAAAATTTTTTTTTGACGCAAGGTTCTGAAAATGGCATGTACGCTCCTACTTAAGCAGACGTTGCCGCCGATTTCTGTATACAATCTTCGAGCGTCGTCTGCCGCACAAACGTAACCCCTTCACTTTTGTTTTTCTTTATTGAGTTATAAAGATACATTATCATCAAGAATAATAAATAAACTGTCAAAGATAGGAATCACTCATGAGGTTATGCAACAGGCTTTCAACAAAAATAAAAGAGAAGGTTTACGTGTTCTGTTTACTGAAAATGTTGAAGAGAAACCGAGAGTCACAAAAAATTCTGCAGTCATAGAAAAAGTATACAATTTCTTTGAAAATAAATAGTACTACAAATGGCCATATTATTAAATTAAACATTATGTTGCATGATATTTCAATTATCTTATTTATGCAAGTACTTACTTTTATTATTTATGAGTTATCAATATATTCAGAACTAAATATTGATATGCTTCTTGTTATGATTACCTTATGTACGTTTTTAACACAAAAATAAACTCTAATTTTCATTTTCAACAAATAGTAATCATAACATAATTTTACTGATTGTCTTATTGCCATATTAGTAAGTGAGTCATTTTAAATTTGCGCGCGCGATCCGAGCGTCTGCTCGTTTACACGGCAGACGTTTCGCTCTCGCTGATCAATAACTGATTACGTTTACGATTAAATATCGTTTACTATTTTCCTGATCAGCCCATACTTTTGTTGTATTATTAGAAAGCTGAAAAGTTCTTCTTTCACTACAAACTTTTTCTATTACGATCTTAAGTCTACTTTACGAGATATTACATGATATCGTCGTATGGAAAAGTAACCTACATAAGAATACATGTTAAAAGTGCATTTTTTGACTGACTTGTTTTCAAAAATTTGCCTGATAAAGGGACTTGAAATTTTAAGAGAAGATGCCTTATAACTTTAATAACAATCCCTCCAAGTTTCCCTGAAAGTTTAAGTAAATGGGTTAGGTGAAGAACCACCTTAATCGTAGCATCAGTCCAACTTGTCCAGTACCTTCATTTAACATCATTTTCTGTCAAGTAATCTTTCGAACAAAGAGGACATGACCAGGAGAAACCTCTCCCAAAAATAATAATAATAATATGGTCAAAGTCCGAGAGCGTTTTTTTCTGTGTCTTTCGTGCATATACTTTAAATTTACGCACAACCTTCTTGCGGCACTTAAAAACCTGGGATAATTAATTTGGGGATTACCTAAATTCAATTTAAAAAAAAAAAAAAAAAAAAAACTACGGAATAATAAAAGGTACGTTGTGTTGTTGTTGAGTCGAATACTTTGACAGAGAGAACTCGACGCGCGCTTTGTTCTCTCTCTCTCTCTCTATCTCTTGTACTTGCTCACACCTCTTTGCAAATATCTCGTGTATGCGTATACAATAAAACAAAGAGGTATCCGACCCAATATTTATTGTGGAAAGTTGGAAAGGCGGTGGAAAGCGGTAGACATGCTCCAGCTTGGAGAGATTTTGGAATCTATCAAGTACTTACAGGTACTAATCTTTTCAACACCATGGGAGCCAAGGTCATAACTAAGTACGATTATTTTAATTTCTAGAAATCTAGTGCATTTAAAAAAAATTAAAAGTCTCGGAATTTTAACTTGGAAGCCTTTTTCAAAGGACAAGATCTCAGTGATTTAAGAATTATTATTATACGATATAATATGTAGTAGTAACGCAGGTGCAAGGTCGGAAAAGCCCAGGAATACATAAAAGAATTAGAAAAAAATTATAGGTTAATCACAATTACTTTCATACTTCACAAAAAACTACCTTGCCCTTTAAAATTTATTCTAATCAGTTTGGAGCTGCTGCTCGTATAATTTAATAACGAAAGCAACTGCATTGCATTATTCATAGAGTAAAAAAAAACCTTTGTAATTTGACATAACTCTATTAAGTACTCTGTGTCTAGATTGAACCTTATAATACAAAAATTTGGAACTCAAAGCTTCATTGTGAGTTTCTACAGTTGTAATGTTGCATGTTTCTCTTTTGTTGATATCGTGCGTTACAGGAAAAGCAGACGCACAGCTACACAGAGGCTCTGTGACAGAGCCGAGTCGAGCCAAGGAACGTACAAAAAAACAACTAGATGTATGATGCTACTAAATTATTATATGTTACTTAACTAGCCCTGGCAGGGTCTGGTTATGCGTACAATGTACATGTGCACCAATCATGCTGATGTTTCTGATATGTAAATGCGTGCTTTATATACAAAACTTGAGCACACTAAACAGCCGCAGAGAGAAAGAGAAAGCGATTGACGCCAACGTTCCGTTGCTCATTGTTGCTGCTATACTGCGCTACTGTACTACTATAAGCGTTGTACTTATACCTATATGTATAGTAAACACCGAGTGCTCACTGCTCTCTCTTTGATCCTACTTGTGTGTGTATGTGTACGGTGTGCATTTAAAAATCTTTTCTTCGGGACTGATGCTGCTAGAGCACAAAGGACAGTAGAACACACGTAAATTGTACCTACAATGATGCCAAGGGATAAAGAAAAAAAAAAAGAAAAAACCCGATTGAAAATGACCATGTAGGTGGATCTTGATAATATAAACGTGGACGCTAACCTTAAAGTATCCACCCTGGTAGAGCGTATCTGGTGGGCCGAATATCGCGACCTCCCACTCGAACATATTGTCTTCGCCGACGAGCTTGACGCGAAAGCCCTCGACCGGTTCCTCCTGTAGGCTCTTGTATTCGAGCGCTAGCGCGCGTATCGCGCTGCTCGTTGGCTGCGCCATGTCTTTCCGTCCGTAGCGTTTACGTTTAAATTACTGTCTTTCACTCTTTTTGCGATAATGTATAATACTATGGACGTTTGTTCACGTCACAGTAATTGGACTTTTTTTCTTTCTCTATCTATATGTCTTTTCCACTGTCGTCACCAGCTACCTATAATGACACTCAAATTGCCTGCTGCTGGCTTGCTCTGGCCTACGAGGACGATGATAAAAAAGGGTAGCCCAACTATAGATAAGTTTATTCGTCGTCAAAATGATGTATATATATGTATACACGTCACGTCTGCCAATCTGCCTGCATCAAGGTTGTTGCTGTAGCAGCTGCATATTTCCGCAGAGGGTCGATGGCTGCAGCTTTTGTTCAAAGAGGGATGGGGGAGCACACAGCACACAACAGTACGACACTATAAGGGCAAAGGACGAAAGGACTGCTGACACGCACAACTTATTTCTCCCTCTGTTTCTCGAATGCACATATACGCAAGTAAACCTGCGAGAAGCGATCGTTGTTTTTGCAGCAAGTTTTTTTTCCCGAGCAGAGCTTAATTAATGAGCTTTGTTTTTCTTAACTTGCGATAGTTACGATGCAACGACACCAACGCGACAAGGTTTTTAAGAGACGAGAACTCAAGACAAAGTCACTGCAGACGCAAACTGTTCCGTTTCGAAAACTCGACTGAGGTTGAGCTTTGAGCTACTGCGTTGTAGTTCGAGCTCTTGGCGCTCTTGCTTGCTTTTCTCCCACACAGAGTTTCACAGTTCACAGTTCTTGTTGCTCCATTTGTTTAATCTACGCTATTTTTCTGTTATGACCATAACAATTAAGTTGCATGCGTACACTATTTAGTATTTTTTTCATTCTTGTTTGAAAATTTTCATCAACGATTACTACACCTTATTACTATTATGACCATACCACACTCCTCCATGGTATAAAAAATAAAGGTGAGCTCTTCAACCACCGAACTGATCAGCCAATCAGGAGTCTTGGAACAAGCGACCTTCCATATTGGATTTTCCACCAATGAGCGTAGAAAGCGCGTTGTTTAACTATACTTACACTTTATTGCTGAAAATAAATACCACTCACCTCGAAAAGCAGTATCAAATTAAAAGCTTCGTATACGTACGATAACGTAAATTAGATTGCCAGATATGAACAAAAAAAACTGACTTTTGATGTTAAAATTCTCATAAAAAGAAAAAAAATTGTAAAATTTGTTTATTGAAATATTTAATAAACTTTATTTATTGTATATTTTACAAATAATCAGATCATCATATAGAATTATATTTATGCATAAAACAGTGCACCTAATAAATTTTAAATATATTATTTTTTGAGGAAATTTTTTACCCTGTACTCTTGTTTATGTGTAGCACTGTAGCAATAGCACAGTTGAACAACGCGCTCTCTATACGCTCATAGGTGAAAAATCCAATATGGATGGTCGCTTGTTCCAAGCCTCCTGATTGGCTGATCAGTTCGGTGGCTAAAGAAGAGCCGACCAGCCGTGTGTCACGAAGTAAGAGATACTCATCTATCTAGATACTTAGTATAGATTTTTTTTTTTTTTATATATTAGAGTGCTCTACGTCCGGCTCCTTTAATAAGGGCACTCTAGTATGGGTACTTAGCACTTGGGAGAAGGAAGGGAAAGAGGGATGGGAGGCCTCCCACTTACTGGGAGGGGGGGGGTAGGGGGAAATTAGGCAATTTTTGCTGCGAGAAGGTCGCCTAAAAGATGGTCCTCGAGGAGCATTGCGTGGTGAAAAAGCACATGTGAAAAATCACAGAGGTACTTGACCGAAAATGTCGCACTATGGCCGGGAATTGAACCACGGTCTCCCACGTGCCAATCCACGACCTAGCCGACTGAGCCACCGCGCGCTCTTCTACGTCGTGCCGTGTGTTCAAGTAGCGCTCTCCGACAACTTACCGACAACTTAAACATGACGCAAGATATCGTAAGACATAATTAAGTTGTCTGAGAGCGTTACTTGAACACACCCCTTATATATTTTTTTTACACCATGCTCAGCAGCTCAGCACACTGTAATCACTTTAGTCCCTACTTTGATACTGTTGTTTCTTTTATTTTAACACTTTGAAATTTTATCTACAAAAGTGGTGATGGAAAAATTTTTTTCTCAATATTTTGAAAAACACTATAAGGCCAAGTAATAAAAAAGTTTTACATATACATCAACTACAAAATTAATCACGAGATAACGTTTATTTACCAGAAGAATAATTTTATAATTCAAGTGGTCTTTATTTTGATGAGTCATGGTTCATAGTAAAAATACAAAAAATAAATTTAAATAATCTTATACAATGAATGAAGTTATATAATCTTAAAAGTAATATATGCTTACACCTTTAAAAATTATTCATCAACCAACTTTGTCTGGCTCTCCAAACATTTGTATTTTCGGGCCAAATTTATTGTGTTACGAGTGTCGTCTGTTTATTATATATAAATATATCGCTCAAGTATACTTGCATTTCCTGAACGAGTTGGTTATTGATGGTGACACAATCTTAAATATGATGTATGCGAGCTTAACATTACATGAACTGGACCGAGGTTTCCAGCCTGATAGATACAGTAGATCACTAAATGATAACAGACTTTTACGTCAACAAAAACTATACTAATCGCGTGGGGTGAGTCATTTGCGAGACTTGAAATAATTTTTTGGAGTAATGTAAGTTAAAAATATTAAAAAAAATAAAATAAAATAAATAAAAAAACAAAAAATGGAAAAAATCAAGAAGCAATTCCTTTAATTACACAATTATTTTTTTCCAAGTAAAATATAAAACAAAAATGGATGCATACACCACTTTGACTCCCATTAACTTTTCCTGCCATTTTTTCGATCCTGTTTCTCAGATTGTACTGCGTTGGAGTTTTCTTGGGTCGATTGGCTGTTTGAAGGTGTTGAAGAAGTTGTCAGAGTGCTTGGCGGAGGCGGAGGTGGTGGCATAATCACAGATAAAGGTGTTATCGTTTGCTCCCAGGTGTGATCCGACGAAGCTCGAAACTAAAAAATGAATGTTTGCTGGTACGAATGGTTACAAAGAGACTGTTGGAGTGAAAATGAACATTACCTGTGTATTGTACTGACTCCTGAAAGCAGCTTTCATTGCCACAAGTCAGTCGCTGCATGGCCTTGCTTTTTCCAACGTTTTGACTACTTGACTAATATCTTAGGATCCTTGAGAGGTTGACGATGATTCCAAGCTCTGCTCAGATTGCGTGCTTTTGCCTCGAAAACCAAAACCTGCACACCTATAGTCACTTGCTTACCCTTTCCACTTCTGAATCTCGACTTTTTAAACCAATTACTTTGCAACTCTTTGGCTGTCGGTTTGTTCCTTGGAGATTTCTCACGAGATGACCAGTAAATTTCTTGTCCCTTTCGTTAACGAGCGTAAATACCTTTTTCCCCAGCTCGACCAGTTTGGCCGATTCTGTGCGTGTGAGTGTCTATGTCCCGGGCTACGTCGTAGTTTACAATCTTCTTATAAATATCCAAACCTCGAGCTGCACAGATGATTACAATGATAACAATGATTTTCAATTGGAAAAATACAACCGATTAATCATACCTGCCACATCCGTAGCAACTAATATGTTAACTTGTTTCTTTTTAAAAGCAGTTATAACTTAATTTCGTTCAATTTGGTCAATGTCTCCGTGAAGCAACATAACGTCGTGTTCTTTCAACTTTAAGTTGTTTGCTAATTCTTCAGCGTTCAACTAAAAAATTTTTTTTCATTATACGCTAAAATTTGTTGATTTGATGACAAATATCAGCAAACTGCCATTACTTAAAAATTGAACTAAATTTTGATTAAGCCAATTCCATTTACCAACAGCATCATTATTAAATACTACCACGTGCTACGTTACATCTGTATTCGCTTCGCCAACATCACCTTGAACGATCCTTATTGGATCAGTCAACACGTCTCTGGCAAGTTTTTCGAAGTAGCGCTAAAGAGCAACGTTTGCCTGTCAGGCCTAACGTGATTACATATGAACCTAACTTGTGGCTCTGATGGTTAAAAATTCAATGATATCAATGTATTCATGATTTTACAAGTGACTCTTTAATACTTACCAAATGTCAAACATTTTATCGGCTTCGTCAAGAACCAAAAATGTAACTCATTCTAAATTGGTGGCTTTCCACTTGCTACCACCCCCGTAGCAACAACAAACCATTTTACACTTTACCAAATTTTTTTACTTCTTGATATATCTGGAGGGGGGAAAAAAAACCAATTGTAAAACATCGTTTGGTTTCAAAGGACAAAAAATTATCACCTGTTGCGACAATTCTCTGGTTGATGCTAGAACGAGTCCTATGGGTCCATCACCATCAGCCAATTCTTTTTGATCCATTATGAGAATTAGCATGGACCATACGAATGCAGCCGTTTTACCACTACCTGTTTTAGCAATGACAATCAAGTCTCGACCATTCATTGCCACAGGGATTGCTTGTGCCTGAATCGGAGTGGGTTGAGTGTACTCGTATTTTCATATGCCCTTGATTAAATGCTCATCAAACACATAATGTCCAAAACTTGATACGGCATGAGGCAAAGCTGGCCCTGTCACTTTGATGCCCAATGCTTTTCTCAAATCATCAATTTACTGTTTATCGAGATTCACAATGTCTTGGTGCACATTGTAAAAATTCTTTTCAAATAGCTCATAAGGAACGACACTGTGATCTATTGGTGGCAAGGGATCAATTTTTTTCTTTCTAAGCGGAGCCATAGGATCTCCATCCTCGTCGTATTCAATTTCTTGATCAGAGTCAATTCCATGGAGCCCTGCATTTGGATTTTCTTCGATATATCTACTGATCAATCAAGATGATGATGACGTACAAAATAATTTGCAACAATTATAAATATTGTATTACCTGTAATAACTTTCTTCATCATCCTCGACATCAATGTCTGCTCTAACACCTCTACTTTCATCATCTTGATTTTCGTTTTGATTTTTTTCAACTTGAGCGTTTATTCCAGCCTTAAATGCATCCAATGGAGCCTCTTTGCTGTCACTGTCATCATGGCTTTTAAGTTTCTTTTTTGCTGGTGAGCACAAAGGTGAGCCTGGCGCTGGAATGTATTCCAGTTTTGACGAATCGTCTGATCATCATCAAAGTACCTATCAAGTTGAAATTTGCATGAAGAACGTGGAACTTTTATATAATTTTGAACCAAATAACCCAACTCGTCTTCAGTTTTACTGCGTTTCTTTGGTGCTCCACAGCTGGCTGACAGGGCAGTTTCAGTGATGGAATTCATCATGTGATAACCTTGCTTGCTAAAACCCAAGTTTGGTGGTGGAGGAGGTATAGCAGCTCCAGCACGCTTACGACTACTGGGCATTTGAAAGCCAATAAACCCAAATCCTTTAGACTTTCTGGCATGGTTACTTTGACGGTAACTCATGGTTATGGTTATATCCTTACTTGAACACTATAGCTGATATCAATATTTCTGGAATAAGAAAGACGTTTTCGATAAACACGTAATAACACAACTTGAAAATGTACTAGGAGAAAAAGACATACAACTACTTGAATAACAATAAAACGAAATTACAAAAGTAACAAGTTGAACTGAATTTGATAGGTTAACCAAGCTGAATCGAATTCAAACACACACAAATAACATTAGTGAAGACTGCAGAGTAAAAATATGATTACCAAATTCAAATTTATTGCTCCAGACAGTATTTATTTTACAAAAATGACATCCCCAATTTGCACAAATATGAGAATACACTACATTAACTGGACCGAGGTGTTTTTTGTTTACCCTACGAGAGTCGTCTGCTAATGACAATGAACTGTATAACTGGACAACT